GAACCCAACTTATCACTAAGTGATAACAAACCCTTACACTGAATCTGTGGTTTTGTTGATATCCTTCACTGCATCTGACCATAACATGACTTTGTTTCACCCTTTGAAACACAGACCCACTGACCGACCCCCAATTTCCTCCGGGGTCTCCCCTGCTTAGCGTTGAGTCCCACCCCCACCTCCACCAGCCCAGTAACAAGGCAAGGCGTCAGAGGCCTGATTATTTGCACTGACCCGGGTCTGTCTCCTCAGGGCGGCTGCCTTTACCCAGTCGCACTGGATCCATTGACACGGTGAGAGGGGAAAAGAAGGGGGGAAGAAAACAGGCCCTGGCTCCAGTCAGTCGGCCCTGCTCGGCAGGTTGATGAATGTCCAGGACTTCATGATCTTTGCCACCCAAGCCAGTGGAGTCAGGCTACAATGAGTTACAGTCTCTGGGTTAGAAAACCCTCCTGGCCGCCACCACCACTCTGCCCACCCCCCCTTTTGCTCAGACAACCCGCAAGCCCCAATGTTTCCCCAAAAAACCTGAGCTGGCCGCCCGGCCTCCCTCCCTTCCCAAACACTGGAGGTCTATCCTGCACCCTCCTGCAGCCGCCACCTTCCTCGCCCTTTCAACCCTCGGCCCTGACTGCGCCAATTCAATCTGGGAGTGCTCACTCACAGGTCTAACCACAAGCTGGCACCGCTCTCCACGGCATGCCATTCCATTACAGTTCATACAGCCTACAGCAGGTTGCTTCAGCATATGTGCATATGTGTGTTGAACACCTGACCATGTTTGAACGGGACCTTGAACAATGTATGGAAAGCTGGGGATTTTTTTTTTCATCCCCTGAGGTAAAAACTACAAGTGAAATATCTTTCTTTTTTTTCTTTTTTTTAACTTACAGTTACAAGACACAGTGCTTGCCTGAACAGCCTTATAAAAGTAAAACATCGGTGAAACTATGTGCTAAGGTTGGCTGTAAAACCAAACCACAATGACAAGAGGTAAAACGAGAGCATTGTTAAGGTTGCCCCCCCCGCTGCTGCAGCTAATTGTGTTCCACTGGCTGGCTCTAAGTATTAACCGAGTGAGAACATCTTGTTCAAGTGTTTTTCTTATCATTTGCACTTGGACAATGGAGAACGAGCCGGCTGCTGGCGGTCTGGCAGTAGTACAGTTGGATGTGTAATCACGGACTCCAGTAATGTTCTGTAGAACCGAGAGCCTCGGTGAATTTAGTCACCTGACATGATTCACACTGCATGGACTGAAAGGTTATTGATAGCACGGAATCAGCGCTGGGAAAGAAAAGAATTAGCTCCAAGGAAATGAGAGAAATGATTAGACCATACAGAGCTGAAGACAAATATGCCATGCCATTAGAAATGCAATTATTCGCTATTATGGCAAAGCACACTCATTACTGTTCCCTGCAATTGAGACTGGCAGCGCTCGTGGTAACTTGATGACGCACGTCTTATGGTTCTTTTGGCTGTGGAGAACGAGTCTGAGTGTCTTGTGCCTTTTTTTGTTCCCCACCTTCTCCCAGAAATCCTGACCGACCCCTTTAATCACCTCACAATTTCCCTTGTTTTTGACTCCAGTGGCCTGTTGAACGTTTGATTCATGTGAAAATCACTGGCTAATAATGAGGTGCCTTCGAGCGTTTGTGTGAGGACACTGATCTCTCAATTTCAAATGATTAGATTTACAGTACTGAGCAAAAGCAGTAGGCAGGTGCACACGTTTCCTATGGATCCCATGGTGTGGCTTTTACTATTACGACTTATTTAATGCAAATGTAAACAACCAGAATTTTCAGCCATCCTCTGCAATTTATTAATAAATAGAGTTAAGAGTTAACAAATGGTATTAAGGAAAATTCACATGTTACTATATGGTGTTGAAGTGAACAGTCCAGTCCACTGCTGACTACGGACAGTGTAAGTCATTTGACATGAGTTATATTCTGCACACTCACAGCACTTTCCAGATATTGATGCATTAATATCAACACCTTGATGGTCAAGCTGGCACAAGTATGAAGGGCTAAGTGCTTATGCTGTCTGTAAAGTAAATCTTGATTTGAAAGTGACTCATTAAAACAGTTGTCGGACGCCGTAGCGCTATAGAAATATTTCCGTACGTCTGCGCAACATCAAGAAGAAAATATACAATAAACACTTTCCTCATTCCAAGTCCTTAAGGCTCAACAGAGATGTGTTTTTAGCTCATAAAAAACAGCAGATAAAAGGGTCAGAGGATGTGTGATCAGCTGACGCCGTGTCTGTCAGAGGACTCTCTGTATGGCTTTTCAAAGGAAACACTGTCCGCACACGTTTCATCCTTCTGTTCCCTGAAAACCATGCCTAACTTCCGTTCAACCCCCCCACTGTTGCAGGAGACATTCCTCACAAGACGGCTGAATAGCGGCCCTGTTGCAGGTCAGCCTCGGCGGCAGCAGCAGGCAGTTTACAGGGTCCCTGCTGTGTGGAGCTGTGACCTGGCCTCAGAGCTGTGCTCCCAGGTGACAAATAAAACACTAGCCCTCACAGGAGCGTGACTTCACAGGCTCCACAATGCTAATTCAATACAATACATTTAATTGTGGCCCATTTGAGAGGAGCTGGTGAGATTCTTTGCCAGCCATTCACAGGATTACTGCTAATTAGGGAATAAATGTGCGGTTAAAGAGTCTGGGATGAGGTAGTTAATGTGGAGCCCTCTTAATGGACACTTACAGCTTATAAGTCTGATTCTCACAAAGCAATGTTTGATCAGAAGGACTGGTTTCTGCTCTTTTTAATGGCAACCCATTAGATTTGGGATTTTTTACGCAGTAATAAATACATAAATAAAAAAGAATTACACTTTGTTTTATTTGACCTCACCAAATGTCAGCATCCAAGATGCTCTGCTGCCTCGTTGCTAAATATCAGTTTGATTATCTTGGTGCTGACATTTAAAAGAATTCACAGCATCATTTCTTAAAAAGCTTGTGTAAGGAAGTAGTGATCAGACGGCTGTAGATACAGACCAGTCAGATACCAGATGGCCTGAGCACTTATCGGTGATGGCTTCATGTGACGTCTTAGAGTTGTTATTACTCAGAGCACTGTGGAGGACTGCTGTGGCTTTATTTATAGTCACACTGCATTTAAAACTTTGCTCAAGTTTTTTTTTTTCTCCCGCAGAATTAAGCCGCCCACAATTTGCAGCCATGCACGGTTAATGAACGAAACCCAACGCCAACACGAGACATTAACAGAAACTTATGTCTGATGTGACCTTTTTAATCAACAGTTGAAGAACAGCACTAAAGCAGAGTATGTCTAATATATCTGGTACATATAAAAACATTCTTACTTATGTTCAGTTCTGTTCTTTGTCAAACAGCCATTCATGCTCACAGTCCGTTTCTATGAGGCTTACATGACTTATACACACAAAAAACAAAGCTTGCGACACAGATATCAGCAGTAGATAATGAATGGATAGAAAATGTAACAGAGACAGGACTGAAAAGACGGAGACAAGATCTATGAAGGTTTCTTTAGCAGGTGAACTGGTAGCAGGAGTGCGTGGGCTTCGAGACTATGTAGCAAAATTGTTCATTTCAGAGTAATTCTTTTTGCAAATACATTGTTTATTCAAATCCAGCAGCTACGCTCTATGAGAGAATAAGAATCTGTATGCCTACATGCAGACTGTGTCAGGTTAATATATAAATAATAATAATATATGTGGATGATATATGACCTCTGTGTGACACGTCATATATGACACGTGTTTATTTCACAGATTTGTATTCATTTTTAACAATAATAAATTAGTCCCATTTACTAAAATTCTCTGCTTTAATGTTAGTTTTGATAAAAGTTTTGTATCTATTTTTTAGAAACTTCAAGTTGTATAGTTTCTGAAAAATATTATTTTCTAAGTCTGACTCACAAGGGATCTTGACCTAAAAATAGTTTCCTGACATGTAACAACATATTCTACTGCTACCATTTTGGAGACAATATGTCATTTTGAAATAACACCAATCCATCTGTGCCCCCTTCATTTCGAGTTTGTGACATCAAATCGAGAGCTTGGATATTTTGGTCCATCAATAAGACAGATGGTCTGTGCAGCCAAACTCGCTCAGACACACAGCATCCTCACATCAATTTCTGCCAAACGCGCAGCAAAGATTTCTATCTCAATTAAAGGAACCAAACTGAACCAGGAAGAGAAGCGATACAGCCAGAAAGCCGAGACTGGCCTTTGACCAAATCTGTTGTTGTTGTCAGCTGATAAAAACATTCCCATTTACTCCCATCCATCTATCAAAACAAAGTTAGACCATATTGCTCCAGTCAAAGTTTCAAGTTTATTCCATCTTTTTAAGTGGTTCTAGCTGCCAGTGTGACAAATGTCTTTGTTAAAAATAAGTTGCCATGTCGGTGTCTGAGTGAATGATTCCTCAGCTTGAAACATGATTACATTCTGGTTCTTTTTAATGTCATAATATGACAAACAAACAGAAAAAACAAAACTGTGCTTCCGTATCTTGTCATCTGTAGATTTGATGTCTAACTTAACACATGTTGAGCTCTCCCTACTGCAAAAAATGAATAAATAAATATAAATAATGGCAGTTACTGTTACTGTGACCTTAGGTTTAGCATTTTGGGGACAAACCCTGAACGTCTGGTTGTCAATTCTTTTAAAATCTGCACTGAGGAGGATTGACAGTTGACAGCACAACCTTAAGCAGCATACAAAGTATTGGTTTCCATTTGCTTTGTTATTCGAGATCAAATAAGCAGTAGCAAAGCAATCCATGACAAGTAGCTCCATCTAGGGTGAATACTATCACTTAAACCAAAACTACATATTACAGTAATGAAAACACACCATAGCCAAAACAACAGTTAGCTCACACAGCACAGTAACAACCAACAGCCTACAAGACAAGTTCTTGTTTACGTTGTTAGATATGTAGTGAATACAGTTTTTGACATACCTGTCACGTGCAGGAGGTTCAAGTTCAGCAGTCAGGGCCCAGATGCAGTTCTCAGCACACAGAGTTCCGATGCAGAAGTTAAGTGACTCAGTCCACCTTAATCTGTCAGTTAACCCAACAGAAAGTGAGTCTTCACTCAGGGACCAGACAGAGGGGGGAAACAAGGAAACAGACAGGGAATTAGCAATGTGGACAAAAACACAACCATGATGAGAGCAACAAAAACAACAAGAATCAAAAATACAAATTTACCTGACACAAACAGTGGCAGTGAGGAGAAAGGTGTAAACACTGGGTGAGAGGAGTCTGACAGACTCACTGGGAATCACAGGACACAGGTGATCGTGATGAAACTGATTACCCCAGTGTAGACTCACAGAAGTGCAGCAGGGCAGACAGGCCTGACAAAAACCCTTGTTTACATATTCATTTGAACCCAAACCGGTGATTTTGCATAAACACCCTTCTGTGCATTCACAGAATCTATAATGATGCCCCTTCATACAGTACATTTGGATGGTTTTTCATATGGAACACATTTGTGCCAGTGGCCTATAATAAGAGCACAGTAACACTTGGGCCAAGCGTGCAACTGTTTGAAAGAGATATTATGGGATTACGTGGTGAACTAAAGTGTTGGAAAGACAAAAACAGAATAAATAAAGTCAGAGCAGCTTATGCTCTGTTTTATAGTGTTGTGGATGCAGCACATGGAAAGATCTGTGCGGGTTCTGGCAAGAACAAGAACCATGTGATTTGTGTTTTGGCTGTCGTGGACCTGGCAGCCAACAAAGACAAATTTATGGATATATTGCTAATAAAGTCAATACTATGGTCGAGCTAGCTTCTTTATTAATAAATGTACTAATGTAGTAGTATTCTGATTAATCACACACAGTGAGATCCAACGTGTGTGTGTGTGGCTGACTGACTGGGATTGATTTCTGCCCGACTTACTGACTACATTTACGAGTGCATTTTTATAACAAGTTAATTAAACGCATTTTAATCTTTGATGTTGTGAGCAGCCCCCCCCCTCACCTCACCACCCCCCCCACCTCCATGAAAATTAAGTGCCTGTCTAATGATTTCATTCAAGCAGTGGGTCTTAATGCTTTACCTCAAGATCCATAGCCAACATGTGATTTGTGTATCGCCAAGTCTTTTATTTTGAAGGCCCAAAAAGCTAAAAAAATCCAAAACTCCATCAACTCGGCTGCCATGCTACTCTTCTTCTATTTGTCTGAGTAATGTAGAAAAAATGTTTGTTTTTATTTAGTAGAGTTAGAGTAGAGATCATGTGATATATATTATTATAATGCATTAGTTTACATACTGCAGACTGGTACTGTCTGCAGATGGGATTATGTATATATACAGTATATATAGATGATGTTTGTCACCATATCTAGGGACAGTGAATCTGTAGAGGTCTTTGTAAATACAGTGGAGAACAGCAGCACAAAATAGATCTTCTATTGATTGCATTCATTCCCTGTAGAATAGCTGGCCTAGTGGGAGTCCACACCAGTGTGGTGACTGAAGTCCAGCAGGACTGTGGTGTCTGTCTGATGAAAGAGGTACTATCTGTCTCTACCACATACAAAGAGGGAACTTTCACACTTTATTATAGTGGAAAAATAATCATGGATTAAATGTGTATTGTACTTGGAATTATTAGTTCAATAGTCGGCTGTTGTGTCTGTTTATGCTCTTTTTAGATCAATCACCGTCATGTATTTAAGGAAATGAGGGACAAACGAATGTCTCTGTGGTCCATAGGACTGTAAATGTACTTTTTTTTTCTGTGATTATCTCCTGAATAATGGTGGCTGTAAAACTACACTACACCTTCTGCCTCCTGGATCAAATGAGCAGGTTCTCAGCAGGCGCTCAGCACTGTTAACACCAGCTGTAAACCAAACCTCCCAGGGGGTCAGAGGTCAAAATGTTTGGCCTTCAGAGTGACTCCGTGGGCTGAGCATGAGACGAAGCCCGCCCATGGGGTGGTCGCCTAAACAACCATGCTCATGTTTATTATGGTATGGATCGTGATGATGATGATGGGAATTTGTACTGCTATTATGTAATTGTAGTTTCACTACTGTGTCAGAGAAGTAAAGGTTCAGTTACATAGTTTTTAATTCACAATTTAATTAGTGCCACAATCATTTTGCATTTGTCATTTTTTTTTTTTTTTTTTGTCCAGTTTCATCTGTAACGCTAGCTCGACTCAGATGTGCATGTGTTTGGAGATGTCTGCTGACAGCGAGCTAGCAGGGCAGCAGCAGCACCTTAAGGTATCTCACTATCACAAGTGGAGCACAGATAAAGGCAGCCATGCAACTTAGTAAAGGAGCTTTGAAGGTTGCTCTCTTGCTTAACCCCGGCCTGATAAAATTGGCTCAAAGGCTGTGATTTTGCTTGAAGTGATACAGACTTGATCACATGTCCAGCAGTGGCTCTCAGTGGTCTTTTCCTTTAAAGTGAGTTGTAAAGGGTGCGACCTTTTGATGGAAACACCTTTGACCTCTTTGGAAAGTATATAAAAAATAGTGCAACCTCCTGGTATTTTATCTCTTGGAACTGAAAGTATATAAAAAACCTCCTGGTATTTTATCTCTTGGAACTTTTTGTATGTGCCCTAAAATTTTAAATTGCCTGAGAACATAAGGATTTCCCTTTTCTATTCATTGCTTTATTTATCATTAATTTTACAATAATTTGTATTCTTGTCTTTGGGACACCTCCCTAACACAGTATTTCTTGCAGCTGTGTCTGATTTACAGACGTCGTTTTTTAACCTCTGTCTGTAGACGTGTTACAGCGGTGTTTACTTTTGTACTGAGACAGTGTCACCCGGGGTGAAGCTCCAATTTCTGAGAAGTTCCACACAACACTCCTTCTGTAGCAATATATAGAGACTCGTCCTATTATTACTCAATCACAGTCAGTCTAAAGGATCGGTTTCCGCAATAGCAAATCTTGACATTCCTAGAAAGATGAGAAGATGCAATCTTCTCTTCCTCACGAAGACTTTGTTTGACAAGCTCATACCATTTCTTCCTACTTCACTGCTATTTTCTCTTTACTGCTTGTCATCTGGATAAACTGTTGGGCGTCTCTCTTCTACATAAGGACATGGCCATTTACTGACTGAAGTCCCTTGACATAAAATATGTGAGACTTTGGCTCTACACACAAAACATATAGCTTTGATTGAAAACGTACAGTTTCTAAGACAATATTCGTAACAGGCCGATTGTTGCGTTGTGTCGGCAGGCACACGGCCAGTTTTGTTTTTATCAAACAGGACCAGTGTTATTTACCTGTGTTGCTGTGAAAACATTAGCCACTGAAATGAATCTATCTTAACACAAGCGCTCAGTGGCCGTACTCGCATTGTTTAAGGTACAAAAGAGGGCGAGGTGTGAGTGGAGTCGTACTGTAGGGAGCGGTTAACTGTGTCTACATTTATATGAATATATGTTACCACTGTAAAACTGAGCCAGCAATAACAAAAAGAGCAGAAATGATTTTTCAGCAGCTTAATCAAAGAACAAGGCCTTGGAACATAGTTAATTATTTAATCATTCGATAGTGACTTGTTTAACTGCAACTAATTAAAAAGAAAATTCTAAACTCAACCGACAGTGAGGAAGGAAGGTGTTACGTTTCTGGTATGAAAATGACAGAAATAAATAGAGACATGTTTGACATATACAATACAATGATGGTGATTTGTCTTTATAAAGTTTGGATGTTGTAACTATCATGTAGATTTAGCTACAAATTAAGGTTAATAGAGATTAGAGATTAGGGATAACAATGGAAGAATGAACTTTATGTTACGTCAGAAATTTAAAAATGTGTCTCATCAATGTGATGAATGAGGAAAGAGAAACAAAATTTGGATGAAAAGCTATTTTCTGTATAAACACAATGTAAGTTCCACACATGTCTTTTTGATTTTGTATTTGTAAGTTCCACACATGTCTTTTTGATTGAGGCTGTCCTGACAAAAGGCAGAAACTGCGAAGTAAATAATAACAAACTAAGCGTATGATGTATGATTTTCTTTTTTTATATGAACCTTAGATGACGGTCAGAGAAACTACAAAACAGTTTATCCTGGTCAGACATTCTGGACACGCTGTGTTTGGTTTAGCAGAGGAAACACGCCTGGTTTGAGCGTGTAGCAGAGAGAACATGACGCACACGGCTGCTGTGGAAATCACCATCAACAACCAGATCTGTTGTCTGCAGCTCTCTGTCAGATGATGTTTGTGCGTCCACAAAGTCAGGTCTCATCAGTCAGGGTTGGTGTGTGTGGAAGGGGGAAAAATTAAACAATATGGTTTTTTTTTTTTTGTTTTTTTTTAATTACCTCTTTGAGCGAGACAGGCGCAGAGAACACTAAGCCAAAAGTTTGGTTCTGATGAAACAGCTTAGGTGATTAATCAAAAGTGCTTTAATGCTGCGGTCAAAAGACTACACTTTAGTGCACAGCCTAATTGAAGGGTGACTAGAAAGAATTATTTCTTGAACAAAAAGTTCAGTAACACCCAGATAAGAGACTTAGAGCAGCCTTGCCAGTTTGCCCTCATTGCTCTTCATTTGGCATGTATTTTGGCAGGCACTTCAATGCCCTGCACTCCAGGGTGGTATAGATAATAAGAGAGGAAAAGGCAAAGAGAGAAGGACACTAGTGGTCCTAGGAGGGGGGAAGGGAGGAGAAAGTTGTCTCTTATCAGGAGCTGGGAGCAGCAGCCTTTACCTGACGTGAGCACCTGCTGGTTCAATGTGTGCTGGCTGAGGACAAACCCCCCACAACGCTGCATCTGGATATCCTTAGAACATAGGGGGCTAATTAGGTGGGGTATTAGATTGCTCTTCTCTGGTGTTTCATAGATTACTCTAACACAGACCTTTGCAGTAGCACTCGGGCAATTTTTCTTCACACATTAATGGGTTTAATCGATCAAAGGCGGGACGTTCAATATGTGAGCATTAACCTCAGACAAACTATGCAGACAGCTAAGGAGCATTAACTCAGGGAGGGGGAAACTGAACGGCTTCTCATTCATCCTGTATGTGGTGATAACGATAAGCATCAGCAAACCACAAAAAAAAGTTAAACGTTTTTAATTATGCAGACTTAGATCACCACATATCACCGATGCAAACACGTCCAAAACTAACCACAAGCTAAACAAATAACAGCAATGTCAATGCAGCTCACAGTTTGGTGGTTCTTAGACGTTCGCCCCACGTCCATTTGGTTTGTCACTCAGACCGACTCTCTGACCTGAGGGTCCTGAGGTCACCGTGCTGAACCAATGTAAAATGCTTGTTATCGCCCAGCACTGCAACCCTGCTGCACTGAGAGACAAACTGTTTCAGAGACACTACATCTACATGTCCTCCTCCTGTATAACTGAAATTGTAGAGCAGTAGTGAGAGAACTGAAACTGAGTGGTGACATCATTGGGATTTACCGACTGTGAGAACAAGGCACACGACGGTACTTCTTAGTTCAGGGCCGATATAAATATTATGCACTGGAAAAATGAAAACCAAAGGCACTCTGGTTGTAAAAGTGTTTTATTTAGTTTATACACCTACGGCTAAGGCTTGGCAAACTTGGTTATAGTCCTAGTCATTAATAAGGGTGACAAACCAAAAGTGAGATACACAGAGGATATGTATGGACCAGGAACAGGAAGTGACCTAATGCAGTAGATATTATTGAAGAGAATGAAGTTATTAAAAATGATTTAAATTTCTCTCTAACTATCTCCAATATCTGTAGACCACACAAACTTTTTTTACAAATAAATTGATATCAGGAAAAAAAAATAAAGATCCTACTTTTGTTTAGAAAAATTCAACAGTTTTCTTCTTCTTGCATTTTGTTTAAAAAAAACAAAAAACTTCACTAGCAATTAGTCAACTTTGCCTTCATTTGTCCCGGGTGATATTTCTGCAAGGAGTGATTTCTTTCTTGTTCCTACTGTGAATCCGAGCCCAGGATGAGTGCGATTGTAGGGAGCTCTAATGAAAACCAGATGTTCAACTTGTGTCCTCAAAATGAATGAGCCTATTGGGAAACCGTGGAGAGTCTCGGGGGACATTCCACTGGAGGCTAAGCTGATTGGTTCACATTGAAACAACATGGCCAAGATAAACTGGGATTTCAAGAAAGGGGGTCTCTGGACGCTGGGGTCTAAAATAAATCGTTAGGGCTAAAGGAGGAGCTAAGCTCATCCTCTAAGGAAAACAGTGAGTTTTGCAAGTGACTGACACACATGATGACTGTGGCGCCAGTCACCCTTGGTCTACGGCCCAGTTGTGGGCTGTTTGGGAAGTGGAGAGCATCATGGGCCGTGCTTCTTTTGTGCTGATGTCACAAAGCTGCAGGGTATTACTTTTTCCAATTCGTTGTATTTATTTTTCCCTCATGACTTGACTGGGAACTGGGGTTGAAATGTTCTTGTAGAGACACAGATTACTCTTTTGATCTGAAATCCAAATACTGCTAAAGTGTTTAGTCTTGACTCGGGCCAGAACGGAGCAGAGACGTGTGAATTGATAACTTTGTTGTTGAAATGTGTTGTCTTTGTGTTCCAAAATTACTTATGATTTAATGGTGTCTTATTATTAGTGGTGGACTTTTTCAGTTTAGTAGAACAAACACAGATGATGATGAAATAATAAACCAAAGCAAAATGAATGGAGAGACAAAACATCTGATACGTCAAAGCAGCAGGAAGTTACCTATAAATAACTGTCTGGTAAAATGTAAGCAACAAAATTAAAAGTTCCACATTGGGAATTTAAATATTTCACAGTAAATTGATAACATTTATAAATTACCTTCATGCAGTTTGAGGTGAGTCCAGTAACTTACATACATTTATTTTATTTAAACATATTCTTAAACTAGTGTATGAATTTATTGATTGGGCATTTTTAATTGTATGTACAGCTTAATAAAAATGAATTAAAACAACAGTGGTAACAATGGGTAAAAATCTGCCACTCGTATTAAAGATGTGAGAACACTGTGGGAACACCAAGTGAGCGCACAGAACCGACTGTCTGTTCCTTTGAGACTCATGCTGGTAACTCAGAAGTTCAGAAACCCTGGGATGAAATAACAAAACTCCCGAGGTCACAACGGTGGCACTTTTAATGACTGTCAGCCAGTGGTGGAGGTGATTGCTGGTGCCATGTCCTCTGCTGCTCTACGATGCAGCGCTGCACAATGAAAGATCTAAAAAGAGAAGCACGCTTCCACACAATAGCTGGAAAGCAGGAGTGCAGCGGTGCTTTCCTCTGTCACAGGGCTGGTCAGCCTCTTTTGTAAGCACTTCCATCCTGTGAAAGCCCCCTGGTAGACCTCCACCTGCTAGCTGACTGCTGCTCGGCTGCTGCAACTTCTCAGAGAGGAGCGCGCCAGCCTCTCCCCCTCATTTCACTGGCGCCAGCGCTCAATGGGCCCTGCACTTTGATTATTTGTGTTAACAGTTAATTTAGCACCACAGACATATGTGCCAAAGCTGGCTTCACTTCCTCATGCATCACCAACAAATGTGACTTTTATGAGTTCTTTTTCTCTCTCACACACAGAGACACACACACACACACACCCCTCAGCTAAGTTCTCGCCTCACAACTCATTCTGCAAGCCTACTGCAGAGTCTGCCGCCCCCCCAACCCCAAACACACACACAGATACACTCACCCCTGCAGACACCATCTCCTCACCTCCTCTTACCTCTCCTGTCACCCCCTCCACCCCCATCTCATTTTCCAACCTCCCGCCTCCACGCACTTATTTCATTCCTTTTAGCCTTAATCTCTTCCACATCTTGCCTGGGACAGTTATTTCTGGCTCTTCTGTTCCTGATGTTTGCATTATCAGGAATACATTTCACGACAATTTATTCATTGGTTAAATACCACAATAGAGTCCCTCTTTGGGGGGAGAAGTGAACTGCAGTTGAAAAGAATGCTTATCCCTTTCATGGAAGCTTCTGTGTGACATCTTTTTCCATTTGGATGCTAACTGAGAAAAAGAAAAAAAAGAGAAAAAAAACCTCAGAGTTAGAACCTAAAGAAATGCCGGCCTTAATGCAGTAAGCAAATCTGGAAGAGACATTCCAGAGCAGAAAGACGGCATACATTATTATTACTGCTGATAAATTGGGCTAAGTGTGAGAGCATGGAGCACTTTCTCAGTATTAGGCGGCACACAAATACGATGTGCCTTTATTAAAGTCTCTGCCCTCAATACCACAGCCAGAGGATAATGGGAACTGAAACTCAGAGGACTTTGTCAGTGCCTACTTAGCATTGACATTGATACTTAAGGACTGGAAAAGAACAGTGCTGAGGGAGCACAACTAGCCACACCGATGAGCTCATGCCAGGACTATGCAAGCAGAAGGCCGCAGGAGCCATGGAACTATTTGGACATCGTTTGTGCTCTCCCGCTCGTCTGTAGTACAACCCAGTGCATCATCTCTTGTGGTCGGCAGACATGCATTCAAGTGGCCTGAGGCAGAACCTTAAAAGGATGGTCTTGCAATTTTTTTATTGTGTGACTGCATTTCAGCCACTCAGCAGGAGCAAATTGCAACCACATCCCCGACACCGCAGATTCTTCTTCATTAATTCCCCGTCCGTGCCATGTAGTCTATCACTGCTCGACCATTGATTCATGCGCAGTGGTCCGTAATAACATGGCCCCTGTAATGGGCTGTTTGCAGGCAGACAGAAATGGTCGCTGCTGGTATCCTGCAGCAGTATTATTTGCGGTCAAAGTGCTTGTGGAAACACGAGAAAATCTTATGTAATTACTTTTTCTTCAACATGAACACACAGGGTCTGGTTTCTTTACAGCGGTGGGGCA